GGCTGGCTGTCTTAAGGGCAGGTGTGGTACATCTTGTGAGGCTGGGGATCGAATCACGATCCCGTACACCTGACTGCATTTGCCCAAGCGGCGCTTTAAACAACTGAGCTACTGGGCAGGCCCCGGGTCCTAGAATTAGAAGAAATTCAACAATGAGAGTTCTACCTGGATCTGGCAGGAGACAGTGGCGCAGGACAGAAAGTCCCCAGCCTACGGCACTCTCTGGATCGAGTAGATTCAATCAGTCTCTATGGAAAAGACCAGCTCAGCACTGAGGGCCTGTGAGTTGGCAGGAAGCAGAGCAGGGGTCAAGTCAGGAAACAGAGGCTGTGGTCAAGTGCTAAGGGTACGCGCTGTCTGACTTCAGAAGTCCCAAGGAGGGAGTGACCCAACCCTCAGCCAAGGCAGAAAAAGCAATTCTGCTCTTCGGTGAATGCGAGTCTCCCCTCTTTAAACCACCTGGCCCCAAGAGGGCTGTTCCCGGGACTGTCCTTCAGCCACCTACAGGAGAAAGATTTTGCAGAGCATTGCAAGGCGCCTACCCTTGATTAGAATGTTTCCATGGCAGTATGCTCTCTGAGGTACAAGTCACATACAAATAACATAAGGCACACCTTTTGTGTCAACCGGGCACTGACTCATAATGAATCTACTGACTGCCAGAGAATGTTGACTTCCCTTTCTAGGAAAAGCGGGACATCAAGCAAAAGAAGCACCCTCTGTTAAGACAGGTATTGCCCTTTGCTTTTTAAGGTGGGGTAGTCTACCTTCTTCGTGGGTTAAACTAACTTGTCAAATTCTTCTCCTGCCGTTTCCTCCTACCGTTTAGTTTTCTGGTTTTGCTGTACAATCTGGTGTGTCTGAATAAGAACTGTGTTGCCACCAGTCAAATACAGATTGCAAGTATGCCACTGGAACATGGAAACATTAACAAACTATTTTCATGATTCCTAAGATCTTTCCTTTAGGCTCAGTGTTCACTATTGTCGTTATTGTGACCTTTCATATCGATGACTCTAACTCACTGCGGTAGTTTAATATGGCCTATCCAGTTACTCACTTTAATTTCACTAATTGAATTTCAATGGATATATTTTCTTAAAATAGACATTGTTCTTTCTAAGAAAGCTTAATTCTTTCATAATATCACATTTTAAAAAATGTTTAACACTTTATATGGTTAAACACTGCGAGACTAACTGGAAAAAAAAAAGTCCAACTCCTTCATCTTTCCTATACTTCCCAGTACCCATTGTAAAGTTTTTGAAACTATTCAGTGATAATGTTATTTTTAATTTATTTTTTCAGTATTACCTCTCTATACATAAACATATATATATATATATATCTTTTATTTTTTAAGACAAATAACAAAATGTCTTGAAATTTTAAAGTGAAATTCCATGCAAAAGCTCCCCATTAATAGTGTTCTATTATACGGCTACATGCAGAGTTTCCTACTAGCCCTTTAAAAGCTCCATAATAATGAGTACTTCTGCCTTTCTAGTTCTGTTGATTTGACAAATTAACAAATGTGCCCAATTTTGTTACTTTTCAGGTTAAAATACCTCATACTATACGCATTCTATAGCATTCAGATGCAGTCAAGTTCATACTGTTATAAACATTCATGTTATATCAATTTAAAGATGATATTTTGGAGAAATAAAAGGGTAGCTAAAAATTCTGTTTTTATAGGTTTATAGCTAAACTCATTGGAAAATACGTCAAGTTTACCCAAAAAACATTCCCTGTTGCTTATTTTACTATACACTTAATCTTATTTTTGTTTTAACTATTAAAAAACAGAAACAGCATATATAAAAGTTAATACATTATCCTATACTCAAAATTGTCATTAATTTTCTTTTTGTTTTATTTTTAGACAAACCAAAACCAAGTTCAAGTAAGTGTATCATTTGAAGGTTTTAAGAATATCCTATCACATTATTTTAATTTTATATTTTCCTTAGAATTTTGTACTTGCCTTGAAAATGAAGTTTAAAAGTGTGGAATGCTCACGAATAAAGTAACTATCCTGCTGTAGCGTATATGACATACTAGCTGGCAGATGACACTGTCTAAATCCCATTCATTAGCCCTTAAGCAGGTGCTTACTGGGCCAGGTTAGGCACACGACAGTGCATTAGCACAGCGAGGACAGACAAGCCATCGTGCTTGCGGAGCTAGTGCTTTTATCATGAACTATTTCTAGCACAAAACAAGCACTCTTCTCTCTGTTTGGTCTACGTTAGGTATTTGTTAAGATGTATTAAGTAAACATAACATGGAGATCCCTCTAATAGTCACATTGTGCATTAGTAAACGTTCACTGCTCCAAATGTGTGTCATGAATTATTGAATATCAACCCATTAGCTTTTAATTTTCTTAGTTTTTCAATGCTTTGGGATTCATTATCTTCAGCAATTCATAATTGTTTTATTTATGACATTCTAAGCAACAATAAAATGCAGCGTTAAATAGATTGTTTAAAAACTATCAAAATATTACACAGACATTTCTCTGAGATAAAAATATGTAAATGCATAAAGAAATGAAGAGTTTGTCTTTTAAATCTTTTAAATGCCAAAGACTAGTGTGCTTCTTAATGTTAGGAGAGGTTCCTTAAAAGCGCGCTATTCTGATTCAATCCCAGTTTTAAACGTTAAATATTGTCCTTCAGTGAGAAAAGTCTCTTTTATGTTGAGTTTGTATTATTGCTACTAACATGAAGAATATTACTAAAACTTAAGCTTTTGTGTTAAACTGGAATGCTAGTTATTTGAAAAATCTGATTTTTAGGGAATATTATTCATTAATAATTTATCATAGTTCAATCAACTTATCTTGTTGAAGTCTTGCAAATAGCTTCCACAAATAGTATACAGCTCTAATAATGTCTAACAATATTTTAAGAGCAATTTCTTGTACTTTCAGGGAAGTCATGTTTTCTGCGTTTTCACCTGAACTGATTTGGGAGGGAAATATCTGCTGGCTCATATTTAGAAGCATGATCCGTTTATGAAATAACAGGCTCCGAGGCTAACACTGCATTCTGCCGGGCTAAGCGCAATGGCCATTTCTCCTGTCCCCTTACCAGACTGTGGGCACTGGGAGCCGAGTCCTGTGTGTCACCCACACCTCCACTCAGCTGCACTTCATACAGCATTTCACAAACAAGACTTCTTTAGTAACAGTCGATAAGTGAATGCTTGTATGCAGGTATAAAGATCCAAAGTAAACATTTATGTGACAGAAAAATAGTGTATAATTAACAGAACAAGGAACTTAGAATTTCTTCATTCCATCATATATGAAGACAATTTGAGCCTAATTTGTAATATTCTGAGATGCCTTCTTACATTTTTCAGAAATATCAGTGTTTTTCTCCTGCTAAGTATATGTGCCTATTGTAATATAATAGATAATCTGGGAAAATCAATTTCAATTATTTGCTACTAAAATAAACTATTCTGTTTCCCTAAAGAGGTGGCAGCAGAAGTCACACGATCAGGTAGGTACTTACTGTTCATCCCACAGAAGTAGTGAGCTGCAAACTCTCTAAGCTAGACTCTAGTTTTGTCACATTTAGAAAATCCTTTAAATACTCATAGCCCTGGTCTTCTGGCCTACAGAAATAACTCCCAAGCAATTAATTTAATGATTAAGAGAAGTAACACATGTCGTCTTTCCACTGCATAATTGGTGTCATGCACAAAATGTTGATTTTTTTTTTCATGCTTTAGTCTGACAACCAGCTCGCTAAGCCTTGTTTTGGAAACTGCGCCCGCCGTTACGGGAGACAACGTGCAGCTTCCGCATTAGCTCCCTCGTTTTTGAGCACACACCTCAGCAATCAGATCCTTTAGCGCAACGCTAAATATAACAACTGAAATTTAGACGTTTTCCCTGCTGTTGCAAGATGAATCCGATGAATAAATGCGCAGCTTACTCTCCTGCACTTCGAATCGTGCAGGAAGGCAAGGGCTGTGCACGCCCGAGGTCCGCGTTGGCAGAACACGCGCCCCGCGGAGGGACTCGCTGCGCGTCTCCAGCGAGCAGGTCCCGAGCTGCGCCACGCGGCATCCCGCCTTCGCGTGTTTGCTTCAGGACTGACTCGGAGGGTCGTGCTGTTAAAGATGATGACTCATTTTTTTCTCTTTAGAAAAGAAGAAAGTTGAAAAACCTGAAAAGGAAAGTAAAGGTAAAGTTGACATTTTAAAATACGCTACTAAAATAGTCATAAAAAGAAAAGAAAAATCCTCATAAGTATACAAAGCATATGCCTTGAAAACACTCCATGAAAATATAGAGCGCGATTTTGTAGCACGCATCAGAATTACTGCTCGTCCATGCACAAGCTGAAAGCCTCCCATCGTGTTACTATGAAATACCTAAAAGGTACCCGCATTTACGTCACAAAGCAAACTACAGATTATTGTTAATTAATATCAAAGATTTCCTTTCACGGGACTCCAGAAACGTGAATTTTGACTATATAAAATTCTAACCATTAGCAAGACGTATTGCTAAATGCAGTTTATTGGCTATGTGCGCTGAGATCTGCCTGAATCCTAGTATTCACGTAGGAGCCTCACAAGTTTGAGTCCAGCCCTGGAAGTGAACTGACTTAGTGAGGCTCTGTACAGATAAATGAGTGAAGACCCTGGACTCGATATCCAGTTATTTATATATATAATCTTTTATTCTTTACTAAAAAATTAGAAATGAAGCATCTTCTCAAAGAAAAAAAGTTATTTTTCAAATATATTGTAAAAGAGTCTGGGGCTGGGAGTTTGATTCCTGGGCCTGCTATACTGGCCCCACCCCCAGGGCGTACTAAGATGGTGATTGAGACTGGGCATGGTGGGGTGCCTGTAATCCCAGTGCTTGGGAGGCTGTAAACAGGCAGGTCACTGGGAGTCCGATCTACGTAGTGAGACCATGTAGACCCTGTACTAAATACAAAAAAAAAAAAACCCTCAAGCCTTGCAGTCAAATTTTGAGTGAGAATTTATTTGTACCATTAGTAAACAAAATTTATATTTTCATATGCGATGGGTGCTGGTCTGGGAAAAGAGACAATGTCATGAGGAATGGCGGCTTGTGTTAGCTGGTGTCAGAGGAGCAAGGACTGACGGGAAATCAAGGACTCAGCCTCTCTCTGGTGTGTCCTGTGGTGAACAGGACATTAGAAACACTCCTTTCTCCACCTTGATACTGGGTTTGTTTAGTCAGTGAAATATGCCTCATATTATAGTAATCGCTGATTGTAGTATAATTATCTGGAAAACTCACAAAGGCTTTAACCATCCTAGAAAACTTCTGCTGATCTGAAGAAAAACATCCTTTTATGTGTCAAAATGATTGTCAAATACACAAAAAACCTAGTGTTTTTCTTCATCTTATCACAATGAGCTGTTTTGCATGGACTCTAATTAATCACTACATTCAGATCTGTTCATGCAAACAAAGCAATCTACTGTTAACATTTATTTTGTAGATATTAGATAAAACACAAAATTTAGTACAATGAATTTGAGAAGATATTTGCCACACTTAAATTATTCCTAGCTTCCTAAGCTTAAAATGAGACATAATTTTTTTCCTTGAATTTTTTTATTGGTACATTTTATATATACATAGTGATAGCATTCATCATAGGGAAATTGTACCTTGCTTCAAACAATAGTTTCATGCATTTTTAAAAAAAGATTTAAAATTTCTGGATTTAGTTCAACTTATAATACCACATTTCCAAGAAAAATGAACTTTTTCCAAAGACATTTAAATAAAATCATACCAAGATGCACAGAAATGAAATTGTTCAAAACTTCTTGTAAAGAAAAAAATCATTAAAGCATATACATAAAAATATTAGCTATGGAAGAACAAAATTAAA